AAAAAAGTGCCTTGTTTGTAAAAATGTTAATTTATAACTGTAATGAGGTATATCAAATCTTTACAGCAAAAGGGGAAAAACCTCCTAGGACCGTTTTACTTTGTTCCAAGCTTTCATGAAGGACGTAATCACTGAGGCAGGGAAGGTCTCAGAGAAGTGGCTGGAAGCTCAGTTAGAGGCTGGGGCCACTTTCAGGACCCAAGCTGGAAGCTGTAGGAGAAGCTGAGCTCCCCTTTCTTTGCTACCAGAAGGCAAATTTGCTGTAGAGACATTTACAACTAGCTCATTTGAGGTTGCTGTGTTTTAGGTGACAAAAAGTCCTCTTGAGTAGCTTTATTTACATTTTTAAGTTTCTGACAGAAAATAATTCTGAACAAGCACCATGAAGGGGAACACATATATATATATATATAAGGCCAAAGAGTTTTCAGGATGCATATTTAGACAAGCTCACAAAAAGTGTGCCTATTCATTATCTTTTCACATAGCTTGAAAGCAACAACAACTTCTGTAACAGGGTTTAAAACTATCAAACATACACTACTAAGTGCAGCCTGACAAGTCAGCAAGAATATGTTAAATTATAATTTAGAATTGCCAGAGATAAGACAAAGGTTTCAAAAACGGGTACCCAATTATTTGACTCCTAAATCCACACTGAGGTGGATTAAGGATGCTACTTGATTGTTCAGAGAGTTGTTCCAAATACTCAGTACTTAGAGAACTTTTTTTGAAGTTTTAAGAAAAAAAACCCACACACCTTAGAGTGGAAATGACTTGGATTCACAGTGTAACAGCTGACAAAATACATCTCTGAGCCTTCTGGGAGAAATATTCTAATAGGAGCAAAAATTTGTATGCAATGTCTTTCTTATTTCATTCAGTTATCCCACTGTACATGACATGAAACATAGAAATGGGAGTTAAAATGATGAGCCTCCCCAAAAGCTTTGTTTTCCCATACAATATCACCCTTCTAACACTTGAAGTCAAATATCTGAGCAAAGCACCTAAAGGCACATTTGTAAGGAACAGTAATTATTTGTTGCTTGCGTTTACCATCTTGCTCCTTAATTTCCTGTTATTTTAAAAAGGTTTAAGAAAACTGTAATCCAAAGCATCATTTTCTCTGAAATTCATTCACACACACACAAATAAAATGGTGTCATTAGCAGCTATCAAAAACGCAACAAATTTCAAAAAGGAAAGGCCATGTCTGATTGATTTCATCTACCCAACTGAGTAATGTTAAGTGCTCACTGCTTGTGGAGATGTGAATTAAGTCTCACTAAAATATATGAGGCACACATAGTGCTTTTAGTTTCCATGTATATTACCCAGGACAAGAGCGCTGTGACCTCTTAAAGTATTATCTGCAATCTGTGCCACTAGTAAGGATAACCTCCTAGTAATATAAGATGGTCTACAGTCTTCCTGAGGCATACACTGAACTACACACATCTGAAACCCAGAATGGTAGATTGCTATATTGTAGCTAAAATAAGTGTCTTCAGAATTAATCATGACATTTGAATTTATTTAGATATCAGCTTATGAACATAGACGATTTTGATGGCTTCTAAGTAGGCTTTTAGGGAAGAGCTTCATCAACTTTCATTAATGTTCCATTAAAACTTTTCCTATAAAGTGCTATATGTGCACATGTATATATAGATCCGTATAATGTGCATGGTTAAATATCTAGTTAACACCTTAAGTACTGAGTCATCATCTAATTTTTTAGAGGACTACAAGAACACGGACTCAGGTTCAATTCTCAGCCAATCAAAAAAAGACAAATCACTCCTCAGGCAAATCATGAGTCTGGGTTTAAGCTTACTTGGACTTGGAGCTTTGCCAACATTTTAAAATCCCCTTTTAAAAATGTCCAAAAAGTCATCAGAATCATCTCTGAGCTTTATATATAGGTTACAAAAGGAAACATTAATGTTATTTCATTTCAAAATTAACCAAGAGTGTTTTGGTTGGGAGGAAGTTGGAAGATTTAGCTCTTTGGCAATATATTCAAATCCCCAGCTCGGGGTGGAGCTGGGGTGCAGGAAGGTGCATAAATAGGCAGCAGGAACTGCAGTGCTCACACTGTAACTGCAGACACCCTCYCACCTGGACAGGCAGCGGGCGAGTAAACAAGGTAAAGCAATGCAAGCTTCTTGGACAGGGCCTGAAACACCTGCAGGATCGGGTTACCTAGAGGCAAGCAGCTCATGGAGGGGAAGAAAAGAATGCAGCAACCTGGGGACACGGTGGGACAGCTTGCCAAAAAGAAAGTGTGTTGGGAAATGCTGCCTTTTCAGGTTAAAAGAGGCAGGAAGGGAGAGGCTATGTGGGGTGGAGAACTTAGCAGAAGTGCACAGAGCTTTGCACAGGTGAAGTGTTARAAGAGCAGGTCTAGTGATTTTCTGTCTTTGGTTTCCTTGTTGGCAAATGCTTTTTTTGTCTCTTTACGCATTTCTTTTGGAGCAAGCAAGAACAACTCACTAGGCAGCACTGGAAATCCTTTGAAGTAAAAATTAACTTTATGTAATTTTCTTCCTTGCAAAGGGGACTTTTCTCAGGGCAGAAGGCAGTCTTTCAAAAGTATGTTTTGAGCCTTTGAAACAATGGCTCTGGGGATGTTGGAAGTTTGCTGATGTCCCAGTGACAATGAGCCATTCAGATTGATGCAGTTCAGCTAATGCCTTCTCCAGCAACTCCTCCTGAAGTCCAGAGGAATGTTTCTGCTTCCCGCAACTTTCATCTTCTTTAGCTGAATTTTAAAAGTTTCTTGCCCCTGTAGTTTTTGCCTGCATGTTCTGGATTTTATAAATTGGTTTTGGAATATCTTCAGCCTTTAAACAGGTATTTGAGTTTTCAAGAGCGAAATTTAATGAGGAGTCACAGGGTCACTTTGCTGTCATGCTCTCACCACCAGCTCTCCCCACAACTGGAAGCAGTGTCCCAGCTGAGGAGCTTCCCATCAGGTCCTCCTCACCTCCATCCCAAACCTGAGGGTCAGGCTTAGGAAGGCTGCTGTCTACCTTGTTTCATCTCGTAAACTGCATTTCAGTTCTCACTTTTGCACTGATAATTCCTTATCTTTAAGGACTAGATTAGACTAATTGGGACTGGGAAACAGGCTCTGAAGTTTCAACCCTGGCAGTAACTTGCATCTGTGTCCATGATATAGGCATAAAACATAGCTTGCTACTTACTTCTCATTAGAGATGATATAGCTGCAATAGAGGAAGAAGTTACATAAATTATTTTTTCAGCAGCTGCTGCTGGAGTACTTGGTTACTACAATTCTGAGAGATCTAGGTATAGCCGTGCATGTAGGACTTCCAGATTCTTGTAGAAATTGCCAAAACTCACTTGTTTTACTGAGCAAATTCAACACTTGTAAAAGAGCAACCAGCACCCAAGGGAGCAGCTGGGAGGAGCGTGGCCCATGGGAAGAAGAGAGCAGTATAAGCAGCTGATTCCTTGGGGAGTTTGCTCAGCAGACCTCCCTCGTGCSTGGCCTCCCCCGAGCGCAGGCCGCCCCGGGGCCGGCGGTTTCGGCCCTGACTCGCCCTGCTGCACCCGGCCCTGTCACGCCAGCGCCGCGGCCGGCAAACRGGGCAATGTTGCGTTTCTCCCCTCCCCAGAGGCAGCCATGGAGAAGAGCTACATGTCCGTGTTCCTGCTGCTTGTGGCCCTCTCCTGCACCCTGGCTAAGGAACCACCCAAGAAGGAGACAAAGGGGCCCAAGGATACCAAGGACACCAAGGAGACCAAGCCCAAACTGCCACAGACACTCTCCAGAGGTAGTAAAAATACCTACTATGCAACCATGCGACAGTTCAGATTCCTATAGCAGCTCTAGCAACTTAATTCCKGCTTACATGCCCTGCCCTTCCCCCTGCAGGCTGGGGAGACCATCTCCATTGGACACAGACCTACGAGGAAGCCCTTTTCCGCTCCAAGACCAGGTACCCCCGCCCTGCGAGCCGGGCCCCCCTTTTCCACAGCCCCCAAGTCCCTCCTGCGCTTCTCCCCACCTAACGAGGCACCTTCTTTTTCAGCAATAAGCCCGTGATGATCATCCACCACTTGGAAGACTGCCCGCACAGTCAAGGTAGGCACTCTGCACCGAGAAGCATCAACCGTTCAGCGGCAGCATGTGTCCTGTCTAACGCTATTAAATGTTAATAATGTATATATTAACAATAATGTAAATAATGTATATATTATAAATGTTAATGTAATGTTAAAGGGGGAAAAATACTTGCTCAGTAAGAATTTGTGAAATACTAATACAGAAGTAGGCATAGTATTTTTTAAAATCAGTATAAAATACTGTATTTCATCAAGCACAAAAATACCTGAATTTTGGTCTTACAAGGTACTTTCATCTCTTTATGAAGACAGGGAAGGGCATAGATTAGGAGGCCTTGAACTGCGTATTTTTTGGTTTGCATTAGAATTGGCTGAAATGGAGGGCAAGACCCCCATCTCTATCAACAACTGAAATCTTCTGGAAAGGAAGGGGAAAGGAAGTATTCAGCTCTCAAGATCACTGATATTTGTAAACCAGCCTGACCACAGACAAAACAAACCAGGCAGAAATGGGTTTGGGGGTGATTTCTAGCAACTGAGGCTGCCCTATACTCTCTGTATTTCTGAACTTTCAAGCTCCTCATCTGACCAGTCCATACAGCGAGATTTTTGCATCCATCAATACTGCCAGTAACTCCCTAGGGAACTTGATCCAGGCATTAAGATATTTTTGAGACATTTCAAGTTGAGGTCCTACACCTTCACACTATATTGTTAGCACTTTAAGGGCTGGAGGCTAAAGCCATACTAGCAGAACAGGTTGAGAGAGACAAATACTCCAATTCCATTTTGAGCAGAGAAACTTTGAAGAGATCTGCACTAGCTGAAGGAAGAGGAAATTCTGTACTGTTAGAGATGATCTTTTATAGCAGAAAAATGAACCTGAATGAAGTATAAATCTTTATTTGCTGTAAAGTAGAAAGTCTGCCAGCCAGCAATGTGTGAGTCTATCAGTTCTTCTGAGGCGTTTTTTAAAGCCAAGATTTCAAAGCATATATATATTTATATATTTATATTTATATTTATATATATAACTGTTATTCTGCATTGCTTCCACTGCAGCACTGAAGAAAGTTTTTGCTGAAAACAAAGAGATACAGAAACTGGCTGAAAAGTTTGTTCTCCTGAATCTTGTGGTAAGTTTCCCAGTTATATTTCCTTAACGGAAAGCAGTAAGCTTTTTTTATTTTAATTATGGCTTTCCAAGTTAGCTAGTCTGTTTAATAGATAGCCATGTCTAGGAAAAATGGTCAAAGCTGAAACATGACAGATTTAGTAATAAGTCTCTTATCTCTAGCTATCATAACCCCAAAATATAAAAGAATTTAAAGTTCAGTACTTTTAACTATGTTTCTGTTTGCAACTCCAGATGTTAAAAGATCATATCTGAATGAGTAGATTTCTTAAGTTGTAAAATTTTGTAATTAAGCTGTATTTTGTAACACAAACTATAAAATAGAAAAGAAATACATATCTGTAACATACCCAGTTGCAATCTTGAATAAGAATCTTCCTGCTTTCTTTTAAGTATGAAACAACAGACAAGAATCTTTCACCTGATGGCCAGTATGTGCCTAGAATTTTGTTCATAGGTGAGTACCTTAAGCATGAGTGCTGAGCTTGGATTGAAGGCCTTGCTGCATTAGGAGCCTAGCACATAACAGGAATATATTCCAAGAGAAATACAGACTCTCTGGCTGTGTTTTGCTGCATTTATGAAGGAAAAAAAATACAGACAGACACAGAATTAGCAAGCAAGAACCTCCTCTTGGAGAAGGTTTGCATAGCCCAGAAAAAGGCAACCGTGCACAGCAGGGGTGAGGAGGTTGATCACAGCTCTGCTTCAGCGTGGGCAGGATACAGTGCCTTCACCACCWGCCACACGCTGATGCTGCCTGACCGTGGTGCTCTGCTTCACCTGCAGGCCTTGGGTGCACCTCCAGAGATGAGCGCACCATGCTCTAGCCCTTGAGCATTTCACTGTCCAACTTGGATTAAAACTSAGACTAATCCCAGCTGGTCCTAAATTAGGGCCACCTGTGATCCAGTATGCCTCAAGGGCCAGATTTTCTAGGCTGAAGACCTAGTTCTGTGCTCAGCTCACTTGCACTAGCACCCATAAGCATTTTCAGTTTGCATATGTTAGTGGCCACACATCYATCTATTCCTTCTTCCAGGAGAGCTCATATAGTACACGCACATTCCATCACCACAAACCTTCAAAAATCTAGGTCATGATTCACACTGCTATTCATCAGCCTCTCAGAAGACTTAGATGAACAGTATTTTCTGTTAACCAAAACAATTGCTGCTTTTCTATGTTTTTTTAATTTATAGCTTGAAAGRTGTCTCAGTTTACAGACTTGTGTACTATGCAACATAGGATCTAAGGCTGATCAATATTAACTGGAATAATACCTATCCCTTTATTGATAAGCCTGCACATACAAAACTTAAAACTAAAACTTTGATTACTTTGGAGAACAACATGCTGTTGGTCATTAGTGGAAATAGAACAACAGGCTAAACGGATTAGCAGATCTGCTTGCATCCTGAATGCTTCTGCAACACTAAGTGTAGAAAATTTATTATCTTATGCTCAAATCATGTTACTCATGTCCTCTACATTTTTTCTCATCCTTTTCCAGATCCCAGYCTGACTGTGAGAGCAGATATTACTGGAAGATACTCAAATCGTCTCTACGCCTATGAGCCTTCTGATGCTCCTTTGTGTAAGTACTGTATTCTCAAAGCAGTCATATTTTTCATGTAACAAGAAATAGCACTAGGCATTACACACTTGCAAGCAATAATTGCTGGAAGACAAGTCATCCAACACAAGGTAGGGACAGATTTGGGAAGAATATAACCATTTCACTTCTACTGTCTTGTGACAGAAACACTCAGAATTGTTTCATTCAGTGTAGAATTCATTGAGTTAGAGATCTTCCAGGCCCACTGGAGGTCATTTGGTCTGTTGGTCTTCAGCTCTCTAAAGTCTAAATCTAAAATCTTCAGAAATTAAAAGGTATGTTAGACTTAGACTCACTGATCTGAAGAAAATGATGGTACAGCCCTGGAGCTTTGATAGCCTTCCGTTTTGAAAGAAAATATAGGTAGTAGGAACTTGCATAATTTAGTAGTATTCATTGTAGCCAAGAGTTAGACCATGAGTGCTCCTGCGTATAAACCCCATGGCCTGGGTCAGCAAATCTTTTCTGGAGGCAGKGAAGGGTCATATGCAGTAGCCTTCCCTCACCACAGGAATATTGTGTGCTGTGCAGTTCATGTCCCTGAAGTGTGAATAACTGCATTTGCATTACAAAAACACTCTCCGCAGATGCAGTGAAACAGATGATGCTCCCTCCTCATGCTCAGCATAGGTTGCAGAACAGTGCATTGAAATAAATATACCAACAGGGACATGGGCAAGAATTTTAACAATAAAAATGACACTTCTTTAGCATAATTGTAGACAGACTGTAAGAAAGTGCAGCAGAAATAACATGTATGAATATTTCACTTCTAGTGCTTGCAAATATGCAGAAAGCTCTGAATACCCTGAAGACTGAACTGTAAGGGGAGGGAGGAAGCCCCTGAATACCATGAAGTCTGATCTTCCATCTCTTCTCCACTCACTGACATGGATGAAGAGACTATTTACAGTGGTTTTTAGTGATATACAGTGCTGGTTTATGTATACTATAAACACTATGGTCTTACACCAGCACTCTTGTACTGGGCAGCATTTTTAAAAGCTAGAGGCTTTTAATTTTGAAGGCATACAGAATATTGTATGATCCAACTGTAAATTTTTTTTTTTAATAAATCCATTTCAAATGTTTACAAAGAYGATGTTGTGTTTCTTTCCTACCTCATTACCAGCTACTGTTACTGGTAAAAGTCATTGCACTAYAGGAGGGTGCAGGATTTTCTCAGTAATCCATTCACACTCCAGGATCACCACTCATATTTAGAGATCTGAACCCCTCAAAAAACAAGTACTAAAAAAATGGGGGGCAGAGGGAGTTAAAATTGTAGCAGCCATATAGTATTATTTTAACCTTTATTTAGCCTCTTCCTAAGCCTCCTATTTACACTTATGTACAAAATGCAGAGCCAGTTGAGACTGGGAAAAGGAGCTGTTGCTACAGTGAGCCGTGAGGTGACTGTCACCTTGTTGACACATCTCACGAATGGCCGGTTGTTTGTGTAAAGAGGCCAGCGCTGTGGGAGCAGCTCTGTGCACACACAGCTATGTAGCACCCCCGGAATAACCCCAAGGCTCCTGGTCCTGTTCCTCTCCATGCGGGAAGGTGACTGTAGCGGTAGGTGTTGGAAACACAGGCATTTCCAGGCCGAGGAAGTGCAGCCCCTCACAGCTGGAGCACCAGGAGAGGGCGCTGGCAGCAGGCGTTGAGGAAAGAGTTGGAGCTGGCACTGCCTGAGGAGAAGCTCTTCTGGCCACCATCTTCACATCCCTCYGGCTGTTCAGGGTCCTGGGTCACCTCTTCCCTTTGACATTCACAACACCATYTCTCCTTTGGGAACATGGGCCACCTCTTCTCCAGAGGAGTTCTTATGAACAAATACTTAAACATATTTTGCCTCCTCTACATGAGAAAGGAGGTACTGCCTAGTAAGGGCAGACCCACCAGAATCCCTTTCCCTCTGCACCTAATCCTTCCTAGGAGTCTCCCCTTCCCTGTGGCTCAGCTCCTTAGCAGACGGCCTTAATACTTTTCCTCTTTTCTTCCTGAACATTCTTCAGAGGTGCCCTTCAGGCCCCAACAGCTGCTTATCATTACCAGAGACAGGCATTTAATGAAGATACAGAACAGATCTGAAATTCTGCATGGTTAAGACCTGGAGCCCTGTGCACCTCTGGTGTTAAGATGTGCAAACTTCTACTTCACTGTCTCTCTTGCATSAAAGGTTGGACCATGCCTCCGTTCTGCTCACAAAGCACAACACTGCACAACCATTTGAACTTTTTATTTTTTTTTTAAACTAAACACCATTTTTTTAAACACTCTCCAGTCTCTCATCAAATCAAGTCTCTTGGCTGGATGACAGAGAAACATGCACAAGTTATCACAACAGTTTTACACCATTTGTAAAAATAGTTGTACAACCACTTTCTGGACATCAAGTTAAGTTTGTTGCATTAACAAGATGRCAGACCACTACTGATTCTGATGCTGTGCACATACTAAATTCCATTCACATTCTAAAGAGAAAAGTTTCAAGTTACTCATCTGTGGATTAAATTTTCGTGGTCTTCATTCACTCTTCTCTTAATGTCTTCACTAAAAATAGAGTATTTTCAGTTTCTTAGAGGAATTCTAAAGCTAACAGAAACCCAAAGCAAACCAAGCAGTACAGGAGTGGAGAAGACTACAATAGTCCTTTAATAWGCACATCTGTGCACTACTGAAAACAAAATATTCAGGCTCTATTTTTCTATTTTTACCCCAATAGGAGGTTGGGAGACCATTATTAAGACATGAAAATAAATTTAGCCTTATTCATCCTGATGGCTAACCAAATCACACAGCTCCAAGCACCCAACGTTTTTATCATTTTAATAAGAAGCCATATGAATCATTGTAATTCATGAATACAGCAGAAAATACTTCATTTTTTTCAGACAAAGCAGTGAGCAGTGTTATAAAACTCACTGAATCACTGAATACATACAGTTCACCACACCAATTGTGGAAGTATTAACAAAGTCATTTAAGCAGCTCTGAGTAGCATTCTGATTCCGTCCAGCTACTGCATACACTAATCAACTTCAAGTCAGAAATTCTTAGAAAGGCAACAATAAAAAACTAAAGATGACAAGAACTTTTTTTTTTTTGAATTCACACAGATTCCCTATTATGGAGAAATGAGAAACTATGGAGAATTAATATTTTGAAGTAGAGGTCACACGAAGAAAATTCAGTCCTTCATATAAACTTGTCAAAGAAATGCACTAGGATTTGCACGGGGATCCTTTTGGTTCCTGTATCTGTAGGTCAGCCAGACTCCTAAAATCTGAAAACAAAGGGCAAAAACATCATTAAGCAGGATGTCACCATCACAACTTCCAAGAATTTTACAAAATTTGCTTCTAAGCATAAAAGCCTGACAACAAATTTCTAGTTCACAAGTTTAGGATATTTGACTACTGTTAAAATCAAGCCTCCCACATTTCTTTACCTTTTAAAAAAAAAAAAAAAAAAAAAGAATGCACCTCTTTAGAAAGAATTTGCATCTAGCAATGACAAGGAAAAAAAATGTGCACGCAATATTAAATAAAATATTTATCATGGAATGCATACTTTAGAATTCTTTGACTTCTCCCCTCAAAAGGGCAGAGATTCATAAAACTGGTTTTTTTTTTTTACTGCAACAGCAAATAATAACCCTCAGACTGTCTCCCTGTACACTATCATTTTAAGATAGGCTTTTTTTCCAGTAGGTTTTCCAATCTTTCCCTTTCCCCCCCAAACAATTGCTTCATTTTTTACAGACAAATCAGCATGGAAGCCAGAGTGATTCTGCTTAAGTTGCTGTATAGCTCTTGCTGCTTTAACACCCATGAGCCTTCTGCAAACTGCATTAAGTAGCATGAAGAACATTTTCACATGCTCTATTGTGGAGCTATGAAAGACCTGCCATGAGGATTTACATGAGGAATGAGGATTTTCATTCAGCAATGGATAGAACAAATTTAGGTACCATCTAAAGACTCAAAAATACCTTTTAAAACTAATGTTTAAAACACAATTCATAGCACAGCTCCTTCAATGCTTCACTCACCACAAAGCTGTATTTTTGCACTATGAAAGGCACCAACAAATAATAAAAATAAGGAAAAAAAATGCAGAAATGTGTGAAGAGACAGGGAGAAGGCAGAGGAACAAGCAGCWGCATTCCTCTATTATTTTACTGGAAAGCTAAAGTGAAATGGTTAACTTTACAGAAACTTGAGCATGTTTACAGCATCATGTTTTAAATCTGGTATGTGGTTGCAGTTTGTAATCTAAATAAAAGAGTAGTTTGTGAAAACCTCCGTTGTTGAAGACAAGTCCTACTTTTGGCAAACTTAAGCAAATCAATAGGTTGAGAAAACTTTATCTAATTAATTGCAGTATTTGACTCCTGAGACAGTAGCAGTAGTACCTGTAACAACCCCCACTAAAATTTAAGGCTTTATTCTCCGATGCAATTAAGGAAGGAAAAAAAAAAAAAAAAAAAAAGCCCTCCATTTTTAACCAACTCACTCACCTCTGTGAAGCTGAAGAAAAGTCCTATGCCTCCAACAAATCTCAGCACCATTCCAGAATATTCCTCTATTACCAGTAGACAGGGTCGACACTGGTGACTTCTAAAGCAATCCTGTAAAAAAACGTGTTGCAAGTGGTTAATTGCACTCCATTTCCTGACACACTTCACCCACTGAACAACCAGTTAGCTCTATAAAAGATGGCCAAGCACAGGTAAAACTCTGAACTTTAGAAGTCTATGAAAATATACAAATAACAAGACAATCTTTGCAGGATGCTCCATCATTAGGYCTCCAGCAAGGTAACAAGGAAGCTTAGCATCACTGCACAGACTAACTTATACACTTGTTAAAACTCTCAGGCTTTTATGAAAATATGAAAAAAAGTCATACATTTTTGAACACAATCAGTTACAAGTATTTTCACCCTTTAAACAACTTACAGACAAGCAGGTTTCATTGGGATCAAAGGTTCTGAATCCACAACAATTGAGGTTTCTCTCAATATCTGCCCTTGCACTGTTGGTGTTATTCCATCCAACCTCCAGGAGCTGACTCTAGGATGCAGAAGTACATAAGTATTAAATTAATAAAAACTACTATTATTACACTTCTGGGAAACCAATATGCAGGTAAACAGGTAAAGTACATACAGGCAAAGTTAATGATTCCCTTCTCCCTACCTTGACAGAAAGAATCAAAACCAAGTGTTCGCAAAGAACAGCCCCAAAAGGGACTTCATTTGCTCCCATTCAATAAAAAGAAACCATATCACAAATACTGTCACACTGATGCTACCCTTCTTCCACCAACTGAGGACTATTTTGCAAGTAAAACCACGGAATGCCCATGTCTGCCAGGATAACATACTGAAGTATGACCTTAACATTCACGCAACTCCAGTAGCTTGTGAAATAGCAGCACCTAGTACAGTTTATGACCATAATTCATTTTCTTCTGTTCTTTTCCCTAACCCCAGCAATAGCATTAATATTTGAAGATGTGACCAATCTGACAGGGACTGCTCAGAGTTTAAATGAAACATGGGCTTCCACACAGCCAGTTGATCACTTAATCACCCTCTCTTTGCCTATTCTTAGTGCAGTAAAAATTATTCACCACATCCCATGGTTTTACTCTTCACACTTACGGGTCACCTCTATTCCTAATGCAGTCATCACCTTCTCCATTACACAAGAACAATTCAGTGACTTTATCACCTTTGCATTATGATTACTGGAGCTACAGCAATCACACGTCAGCTTATCGGGAATTTCTGAACACACGATAAAGTCAAGGTACCAGGCTACTAAACTTGTCACCATGAACCTAGATGGGAAGCTTAAAAGCAAAAATAAAAGCTATACACACAGCTAATGGGCATTTTTGAGCCCAAAATTACCTACTTTTTCCCCTAGCTATCAAAGCCCAGCATTGCTTGAAGCTTAGCTCCTATTTAAAAGGAAGATACTGACTGGTTCCATTTAAAGATTTCTGCTCTTTACAGAAATAAGATTCACAAAGCACATTTTGTGGAAAACAGAAAACATATACAAAAACTGCATAGTCTAGATTAACTGACAAGTCAGGAAACATTTCTTACCTGCTGTTCCTTGTTCAGTGCCAAGCAGGCACAGGAGACAGAAAACTGTACAATAAAGACAAGCAAAAGAATAATCATGTACTGGAAGYGCTAGTTAAGGATATACTCCCAAATTAATTTTGCTCATATCACATTTATAGCTGCTAGCATTCCTCACTTAATTGGATAACAGCAGGTGGACACAGAAAAGAAAACAKTCTCCCCAGCAATCAACCTCCACTGACAACCTTTCTCACTAATCACATACAGGCCCTGTCTTTCTACATTAYGTGTTCTTTGCCTGGCAAGAAGGCATGAGCAGGGACATCAGGGAAGAAGCACAAGTCAGGAAGAAATCACCCTTTCCTACTTACCTTATATCCAGAACTACCTACTTCTCATGTATTCGTCAGTTTTAATTCATACGCTTAAGTCTCCAAAGAACTTAAATACAGTTCCTGTTTCATGTTCAAGAGGACATCAGGAATTTCTAAACAATTCACAGTTTGAGCTTTCCTGAAACTGCACAGCCTTGTATTAGAACTTTTGTTACAACTTTAAAAAAAAAAAAAAAAAGAAAAAAGAAATACAGAAAATCATTTTATTTATTTATTTTATAACGAAATTCACTCCTCTTGCTGGCCTCAATGGTTATTCAAGATATGGACAAGAATATGACTTACAGCTAAGTAAATCAGTTTGAAACCATGCTCCGTGTGTGTTCTATTCAGGCCCATGTTCTTTTTCCCCTTTGGAAACATACAACGTGGTTTGAAACCTCGGCTATTGCAGAGCTGAACCCCTGCACCCAGAGTAACAGATCCACCTGGAGCAGCAGCTCCCCGGTACCACCTCTCACTGGGCTTGCTTGGTGCCTGTCCACGCTTGAGAACAGAGCTGAAGTCAACTGAAAGATAAAGGAGCCGAACAGAGTCTGCAGCAGCTGCTGCTCCAAGAGGCTTCCGAGTCCCGAGGAGGGACATGGAGCCGGACTGCACACCCTGCTGCACAGCATCCCCACTGCTTTGCTGCATTTTTGTAGGTAAGTCTGAGGCCCAACATTCAAGCACTTCTCTTATTGAATGAAGGCCAACAACTTCCTCTCAGTTTCCCACAGGGTAGGAACATGAACAGTCCATTTCATATGGTAACATTATTAGCTGTAAATATGTGAATTGGTGTAGTCTGATCAGTGGAGAATCTGCCTCCCAATACACCTTGTGTTCAGTATCTGCTGTGCATTCTTTAGACAGGAAAACGAGGGAACGTATGTGACAATATTGGCAAAGATGCCTCTCTGGTCTCCCTCTAAGAGGATCTTGTGTTTGAGAGAGCTACAGCCAAACCTTAACTTTGGGTGTTCGTGTTGTCACTTTAAGGTACTTTATCCAAATGAGGTAAGAGGAAAACACTGTTCTGGGTACTCCGTGACTGTTTTCTTTTTCCTCTCCAGTGGGGGCCTTGTATAAGAAAAGGAATTGAACTTAATTAGAAAAAATCAGAGAGCTGCCTCTGGAACACACAGCCTCATAGACTTTCAGAGTGATAAAAAGAGCACAAAAGAGACAACATATCACAGTGTAGATGCAAAAGATTAAGTTTTGAAAGTCAGACAGTGGATTTGTTCCTTGGCTACTCTTTCCCGAGGGAGCAGTTATTTGTAAAGTCACTTTGACAAAGGACTTTTCAGTAGACTGAAATGAGAAAAGTAAGATTTTTTTCTGATGAATCTATTCTCTCATCCACACAGAGCAATTCTGCTGTGCGAGGCAGCACCAGACAGCTTATGCAGTGCCAGGGAGCACAAAGGGGCAGCAAAGCACTCCGAGAAGGCCTGTGCTCWCTTCTAATCCGGGATCACAAAGGAGGGCGAGGTATGAAAAGAAAGTGCTTATTGACAACATCTGCTGGTAGTGATGCATTTCTCTGCMAGTTATCACCAGTTCACTGGCCTGCAAAAGTCTCATCTTCCCACACAGTTAAACATTAACACCTTGTAAATGCCTAGCTTGTAAAATGGTACAGGCTCGAGCACGCAGTAGGAAGCACCTGTGACTTACAAGCCACCATAAMCAGTTCTCAGCAAAACTAACATTTCTTAAAAGAGGAAGGGGTTGGTAGTTGTGACGTGGGAGCCAAAACACCAGAAATGGAAGGAACTGGGAACACAGTAAACTGGAGCGGAGGTTTACACTGAGCTTGATCAAAACTGACTCAAGTTCTCTTTCTGAAGCGTCTATCACAACAGTCTCGGTCATTAAGAGTGAGTTATTTCGATGGCTTGAAAGAAGCTACAGTTGAAGTAAATACATCAAAAGGATACAAAGAACAGCAGTACTTGATGATGTTTCACCGCACCAATCAGTCCAACCAGGGCAATTAGGAAGAGGAAAATTCCTACTGCAATTGCGACTCCAACGACTCTCAAGCTAGAGATGAGGCCAAAGCCAATGCCCCATGCTGCAATCCCAATCAGCAGCAGGCTCACCAGCTGGAGGGAAGAAAAAAAACACAAAGTCAGTTTGCACATTAAAAAACAGGGTACAGCCACACTCTGTGTATTTAAAAAAAAAAAAAAAAAACATTTTTAGAAAGAAACATTCTTTTTGGCTCAAAGAGAAGAGCCACCCACAAGCCAACCCTCCACTTCATCCTAGAGATGACTCTAGTTGCAGGGATTTGACGGCCCCCTCTGCTAACATGGGGCAGTTTTAACTTTTTAACCTCAACCCAAGCCATGTTCAATGCAGCTTCCCTAGTCAGGTCTAGAAATAGAAGCGTGGATTGTAGCCAAACTGACAGATAAGCTAAGCTAAAACCACTGGTTTTCATAATAATAATAGAAAAATGAAAGTTCCATATGTCTTCCGAAATACTGACAGTGCATTTAAAGAAAAYAGAATATACAGCTGCTCAGTTCTGAAAATGTAAATATTGAGAATACTCACTGGATATGTATTTTCCCAAAACTTTCTAATCCTAAATACAATGTGTTAATATACTGAAGCTTCTATGTAATTGATGATATGATACAATAGTTAACAAGGTCACACAACATTTTAACTTTTTAGATCCATATCTCAGGAAAACAGCTCTGCTGTGAAGTCAACACTATTTCAATACTCAAAGACTTGTGTATTTCCTTCCTTTTAAAGATGGTATTCGGGGAAGGCAGCAGAAACTGTCCCAGTTAGTTTACTTATATAGGCAGGAAGCTCCAGCCTTTCCTGTTTCCATACCAAAACAAYAAGAATCCGTCATGAAAACCCATAGTGAAATCTGTAACGAGACACAACAGGAGGGAAGCAGCACACAAAGCCCATCTCCTAGATAGGAGAGGCACAGCACACTCATTTAAAAAATAAGTTAGACCTATGTGTAACAAGGTCTTGTAAAGCCAAGTGCATATTCTGTTAAGTATCATTAATTCAATATGAAAGTTGCATTTTTCCAAACCTTGACCTTGCTAAAACACACTCAAAATTTGTGTTACTACAAAGAAAGACTGTAAAACTGTTTGGCCGCGTCCCAGTATTTTGCTCTAATCAATAACAAACAAGGACCAAGCACTTACACTTGGTTAACAGTTTCCACCCAGACAAGATGGCCCTCAGAAACAGGGAGCAGGAGGGTATTTCCAGGTCACCCTTCATTTTAGTACATTTCCCTTGGAAGAGGGAAAACTTGTTGGTTTTAGGTAGTAAACATGTCTGCATTATCTTTTTCAGCCAGAAGGCTTTTCGGAAGCCTGGCCCATCTAACACCGTTTTTGGGTAGGGAAACCTAGCACGACGCTGGGGAAGGCACTAAAAGCAGCGGCGACGCGGGGCAGCAAAACCACCCCCGGCTCTGCCACGGGCGGATTTGCTGAGCGTAGCTGCACAACGCTGCAAGCTGCTCCATGATGTTAAGTTAAAAATTAGCCTTGCTAATCAGACAGTTAAGTGCAAGGTCTACCTGTTCCGGTCTATGTCTATTCACTTCATTTCATTGTCTCAAACCACCGAGATTTATTTTAGCATTTAACTGTCAGAAGAGAACAAAAACACAAAAGCAACCTCGCTGCCTCCTTTCCAATCAGATACTGCAGGCTCATGTCTACAGCAGCTCCGGGGCACTGAACTCRCACGGGTGCTACACGCAACCTCTCRAAAATGTTATCTCATATTCCCTGCGAGAGATCTCAGTGTTMTATCATATTTCAACTTATTTCAAAGAAAGGCAGAACAAACCTTGCCCCCTAATCACTCCCATCAATGCTTTTCTCCAGGTTTAGCTATGGCTGCAGGTATTTATTTTAACCTGTTGGTTCCTGTATACCAAAAACCTACATTTGTTCAAGTCTTTGCTTATTAACTTCACTCAGTTGTTTTAGGCTTATGAGGTTTTACGGTTCAGAGCAGAACTGACCAGAAACAAACCAGGAACCTAAACAAAATCAACACCTAAAAAAACTCCTAGCTAAATGCAGTGTGTGTGTATGTACCACATACATAGCTGCTGCTGTTCATCATCTCAGCTTCTGGTGTTTTCAGGATAAGTACAAGAAATTCACATGTAAGACGCTAAACATTATGGTTTAGTTTAAGCTTTTCTGGCAGAAACAACCACATGCTGACTCTGGAACAGATACTGTTTTCAAGTTGAAAAGCAGTTTATTTAACTTTTAAGCCTGCTGTTGAGCAAATTGAGCAAATGTTCATGAAGCAGGTGCACAGCTTAAACAGTAGGATAAGTTTATAACCAAGATACATTAAAAAAAAAACTTGTAAAGGAACAGAACAGCATCAGTCTCTTTTCAGTAATTCCTAGCTATGGAACAGTGTTTGCATTTTCAGGTGTGTTCTCCACAACACTGTTTATTCCTGTTTTAAACTGGGAAGTTGGATGTCCAACATCCAATTCCCCCCAGTGTCCGGAGGCTGAGCCCAGGCTCAGGTCTGCGTTCCAGCCTCTCTGAACGGGGCCTCCAAACAGCGAGACCCACAGCTGGGACCAGGGTAGAGGCCAGAGCAGCTAGAGGCTACCCTAATTTTGGCTACTTGCAATTGTGACAGGTATTTTCTATAGGAAACCAGTCTGTTTTGGAGCTGGGGTGACAGCAGCAGCTCGTGAGCCGTTGTGGAAGCGGAGRGACTCCCACGTGCAGCGGGAAGCTGGACTCCGCGCTCTGCCCTCACTTCCAGGCTCCGGACGGACAGCGGGAATCAGCTCCTCCGGACCTGCTCTCGCCGAGGTACCCGGCGCCTGTGCAGGAAACGTGAATCCTCCCGGTAGCGACGCCGGATCCAGCAGGATCCTCCCGCTGCCGGATCCAGCTCGCAGGGTTAGGGGCTCGGGGCAGCCCTCCCAGGAACGGGCTCCTCTCTCGCCAGCTAAACAGACACCAGTTTTTTGCCCCATCTACACCCCCAGAAACAACTTCTTGTTTCCCCTCCCTTCTTACTGTTATTCTGTTACGTAATAAAAATAGATATAGCTTTATGGTGCTGTAATATGAGCTAACGTAAACTCACACTACTGTAAACATGCACATACACACACAAAAAAAAACATTCAAGATGTTTTGGGAAGAGATTTTACAAGTGTGTATAACAATGCAAGGCTCAGAGCTTTAATTACCATTAAACCAGTAGAAATTACTAGCCCACAATGCTTATTTAGGCTTGAAACAAGGGGATTTAGAGGCAGCAGTCCCAAAAGTGGTGCTGCTGAGACTTTCAAGTAAAACACGCTTGAAAAGAAACCCATTAGAGACCCTCACCACTTTCACATGAGTAATGTGCACATTCTAAAGGCACAAATTTATTTTCCTAATAAAAAGTTATGTATTTCTCTAAAAAATTGAAAGGTTTCTCTGCAAAACGTGTTTTATGTTACTGTGACCACATTTCACGGCATGGAGCTCCTCAGAAGAGGACAGGATTATCCTTGGAAGTCTGAATTACGATGGGAAACTCCATTTTACCTACTGATTCCCTATGTGAAGCCACCCTCTGCTACCAGAGTTCCCTAGAGCTGCCCAATAACCCAGCAGAGATGGATGCAGTCCCAGCACTGGACTGGCCCTGCTCCCCATACTTGAAAAGGCAAAATTAGAGAAATGGGCTGTAGTCTGAAAACCAGCGGGACTCCAGGGCGCAAAGGGTAGTAACAGCTCCAATATACTCAGTAACTTCATCCACAACCCGAGCAGTTAGAGAGAATGCACCCCCTGAACACTGGCAGGTAACACTAAATAAATAAAGGAATGGCTGACTCTCCAAAAGAGCGATCTGAAAACTAGATAAAGCACAAGGGGAATTACCAGAACAAGAGAAGCAAATTCTTGTAGGTACTGATTGGCAGTACAACCAGGGGCAACAGGAACGTGCAGCAGCTTGGCAGGCTCAGACTGGATATTAGAGAAACCCCTTTGAGGGTTCCCTAATCCTGTGGGAACAAAAGGGGTCCCCTTCCCGCCGCGCCGGGTTATGGCAGCTCTGTGCTCAGGAGCCCTGAGGATGGCAGCAGATGAGGGCTGAAATCCAGCCCCGCGCAGGAGGGGGATCCAGGCAAACCCCAGATACCGCCCCCGGCGGCGGCACCTCCAGCCCCACGGCCACCTGCCTCCCCAGGCACCTTCGCCCCGCTCTGTGCGCACAGATCCAAGATTTCAGCCGAAAGAGCATGGCCACATTTCACACTGATCAACAATACACATACATACATACTGGGACTTCAGAGATGTACTGGAAAAACAGCCRTTTATACACAAAGAATAGTCTGTCACGGGAGATCAAAAATCTGCTTCTGGTCTGCAGTTARCTTACTGTCATGACTAAAGAATTACCATCTCCCCCTTGCCTTACTCCTGCATAAATCTCTATTTTAATCCATCTAAAAGCTAAGAAAAAAGAAAAGCCAGAAAATCCTATCAACCTCTTCTTCATCTCTTTTTCATTTGTCATACTTCTTATCTCCAAGTTGCTCATCTCCCCTCCTGCCGTCCCCTCCTGCTGTATTGGATTCACGCCCTGATTCTTACATCTACTACATGTGTATTTGTCCACAAACTTCTACCATTTGTTAGAAAGAAGACCAAGGTATTCCTCCAAAGTGGAATGTTTTCACTAGACAACACCACACTGGGACACCTCCAGTTTCAAAGCCAGTTTTCCTGCCTTTGTCCACGGCACAGCACAAGGTTATTTTGACTYGCTAGCAGTTCTTCAGGATTTTCCTGGGCTACATCCCAGGTAGAGAGRCACGCACACAGTTCACATTTTCAACAGCTTCTTGCAGTCCGAGACCAAAAAGGAGTCAGTAAAAACTCCACTTCAGCACTTAAGTTTCAAGAAGTGTGTTCTCACCCTTCCCAGGTACAGAGATTAAGTAGCATTTAAACTAGTATCAGCAAACGGAAATATTTACAGAGCAGCTGTCAGGCTGGATGTGGAGCAGGAACTAGCCGCAGGCAGATCACATACATGATGAAATACATCCTCCCYGGTCCCTCCTTACATAGATAAATTCATACTTCCTTTCTTTAAGGGGGCTTTCAAATTTACCCCTCAAGGAGTGTATACTTCATGGTGCTGCCCTCTCGCTCAACTTGGCTGATTATTTCTTGGCAGACACAGGGAATGCAGAAGACAGCTGTGAAAACGYGCAGCGATGCAGCAGGCAGCAAAGAGCCTTCAGCAAAGCCAAGCCACCTGGAGTCACCTCYGGCACTGCTGTGGGCCAGACAGCCCTGCAGTGTGCGGCTTTGTTCCTTTACAGTGCTCCTTCGGCCTCACTGGAAACACAGTGAAAGCTCTGGGCACCTCGAAGGGTTTGTCACAATAATAGCCCTTGGGTGAYGTATTTGGATGAGGAATGAGCAGCTCTGACCGGTCCCAAACACTGGATGTGGAACAGGGACCTACGTGCACGGCAGTCCTCCCGCCTGTCAGCACAAAGGCCAGGCCCGCTTGTGATTTCATGCTCCAGTTCAGAGTTCATATTACGAGCCAGTAATTAGGACTAAAGTGGTTTTGATGAGGTAGCAAGCACAAATGTTAAAATGGCAGGGGGATTTATACTTCCTGGTCTTTGAAAATGCAACTTTTCTGCTGCGTGGCAGGACTGCCCTGGTTCACTGCTATGCGTGGGTCRGGTTTTTCTTCTTAGTTTGCTGAGAAGCTACGTTTTCAAGAAGACCAATGATCTCTCAGACCCCTCCTTCACACACTTCTTCCTCAACATGAAGGCTCCAGTAAGTAACAAGGTTCCTAAACTCCAGTCCAAGGGCTTCTCTAAACCGTGCTGACGTTGAAGTGTCCACAAACACTGCTACAATGCCTGAAGCAGATCAAAACACACAAGGCTCCAAAAAAGTCTCCTTTGGTGCTCCATCATTTCCCAATTCTCTCCCTAAACACAATCTGAGTACCTAGCTCTAAATGTGACTGCACAAGAAAAGTGTGTGTATATATATATACACATAAATATATAAACGGAAAAAATCACATTGACCTACAAAACCACCTCGTGTCTAGCTATGCTGATCTCTTGAGCCCCACTACTAGAAACTGTTGTAATTTTGTCTCCACTGACATACAGTGTAATGGTGCACAGCTACAAGCACTACCAAAAAGCCTTGAAATACACTTGTACCTTTCTTGTTCACTGTTTCGTATTTTCAAGTGTGATCACAGAAACTTTCCAAAGCAAAATGAGGCTGGATTCACATGGCCAACAGTCACATACTGAAGGGCTTCCCTACCACTGTTTCACTTGCACAGAGATTAGACACCAGCACAGACACATGGCYCCCTCAAAGTGATCTTGGGAAAGCAGGAATGGCTCTGGAACAACCTACCACATCCGGTAACCACCCAGGATGGAAGAGGAGTTGAGACTTCCCACGTGCACTCCTGAACACTGCCCGAGGACCATCACACACAGCAAACCCAACTCAGAGGGACTGACTGGTCCACCAGCACGAAGGAAAATGCCAGTTTTCCTCACCTTGTAGCAGGACCTGGGATTCCTTGAGCTCTGTCTGCCAGCACCAGGCTCCCTGCAACCATCACAGCGGTCRGGAATTACTGGAAAACATGGGCAACAGCCACATTCCCTTTCACCCAGGAAAACTCAGACCTTCACACCACCTCTYAGACAAGGCTTCCCTTATGGAGGTTTATGCAGGAGCTGGCACACGGGCAYGGAGTGCGCCCACGGCAGAGACGCGGGCGTGGTGCAAGCAACACGGGCACTGCGGAAAGCACACGCTGTGACAAACAACCCCGGTCCTAATCCGATAAGGTCTGTCCTAATTTTTGCACATTTACATCATGCAGGGAAAGATCTCGATCACATGAATGTGCTAACCCCACTACCAGCAACTACAAGACCATGAACTGTTCTGCTTTAAATGGTGAYGCAAATAACAGGACACTGTAGTCTAGGAACAAGTTCAGAGAGCAAAGTAGTATAAGAAGTCAATTGTTTTAATGCAGATTTTTCTAGTGCTTAAAGATATGTATTGATATTAATATGCATCTATGTATCTCTGTGCTATTCAATATACACATTTAATGGAAATATCGATACAAAGACACCAAAAACTTTCCTTTAATTTAAAATGGCAGCCTAGGTGTGAGACTCATCAAAACAAAGTCAGGGCATTTCTATACAGAGCTACTCCTGCAGTCACAAACATTAGCTGTTTAAGTGGCTGCTCAAATGATATAAACAGCATCTGTCATAAAAATGAACTGATTTCCCATTCCTGTTTTTTTTYCCCCCCTCCTTCTACTTCTTTCCCGACAGCCCTGCTGCCCTTTCAGCTTTTTAGCACTAAGCTGGGACTTAGGAATTTCCCTTTCCTTTCGGAGAATATGACCAGAGGGAGCTACCAAGCACTCACACTAACCAAGTACTTAGGACTTGCTTGCGAGGAACCCTGTCCACCTCAGAAAACTGTCACCTGATTCACGTGAGCAAATATTGGTGGAGCAGGATCCTCGGGTTCTCATGCCTGCAACATCAGAAAACTTAAGCTAGACTCACAGCCTTGGATATACGTAAGTTGTGTGGGTACAATTTTACTCAGTTCTGACATTCAAAGGGGGGAAAAAAGCAAATATGAAGACAAAACTGTGCCAATATAGGAATTTTTAATGCTAGATTTGAGTATGCAGATGGGCAGGTCTTCAACATAAGGCATTAATCCATCAGTGCACTTCCTTTTACAGATATTAAGTCAAAGAATAGCCTTGTCTTTCTCCACTGATCCTATACCCATTAGAAGCAAGAGTCTGTGCAGGTGCCAGAATCATTCATATAAAATATATCTAAACATGAAATCAAGGCCTAAGAACATTAAGTGAGTCCAGAAAATAACCAGAAGTCATCAGCAAAGTGCCATCTGAAAAGAAAGCAATTAGGTTACTGCATTTTAGGGTTTTTTTTTTTCTCTTTAGAACAGCAATTAATTTATTTCTGCCAGGACATACACTATTGCTTGGTGTACTACTGGGCAAACTAAAACAGCACAGCATCCAAACCAAGCTCAAACACTCTACTTTGCTATTTTGAAAATTAAAGTATTCTGGAAATGCTTTTCTTTAAAGCAGAACACAAATAATATACAATTCTTGGGCCATTTCCTTCTATGTACATGATACAAACAGACACTTCAACATCAGCCAACAAAGTGCTCAAGAAGAGTTGTCCAGTCAACCTTCATAGAATCATAGAATGCCGAAGGTTGGAAGGGACCTCAGAGGTCATCGAGTCCAACCCCYCTGCTCACGCAGGGTCACCTACAGCACGTGGCACAGGGCTGCATCCAAGCGGGTTTTAAAGATCTCCACAGAAGGAGACTCCACAACSTCCCTGGGCAGCCTGTTCCAGGGCTCTGGCACCCTCACTGTCAAAAAGTGTTTTCTCAAGTTCCTGTGGAGCTTTTGGTGCCGCAGCTCGTGGCCGTTTCCTCCAGTCCTAACCTTATCGCCCCTCCTTCTCCCATCAATTATTACTGCACAGTAACGGTGCTATACAGCATCAATGTGGCTGTTCCAATCCAAATCTTGTGGTGTCACCTTCTAACGACCAAGGCACAGAGATTCTCACACGTTCAACAGGGTCAGTTCTCCCAGATTAACYAAACACCCTAAACACTACTTTTGCAACTTGGCAATTAAAAGCACTAGTCTCACAACTTAACCTCAAGCAGCAACAGGTAGACATTCCAGTCACTGTAATAGGAAGCACCTACATTTTAGCTGAAGAGTCAGAGTATATTGTGTGTACGTCTGATAAAAGAACAGCAAGTGCTACCTACAAAGTAAATTTTACTCACCCAGGGATCACAGCAGGATTCAGGCCATAGGTTGTAGAACAGATGTTAGAAGTCTTTAAGTTCAACCCACCCTTGCTGAGGCCAAACATGCTCACGAGCCCTACCAGCCCTCTCAGGTTTGGTTAATATTTGACTGCAGAAGTGGTGGTATCCTCAGAAGAAGGCACCTGTTTACCAAGTGAGGTTGTGTGTGCATCATGCTGGACAGACCCAAATTTCTTTCTCCTCTTGCACAGCAGAAATAGAAGAAGAGGCAGGGGAGGAAGTCTTGTATTACATGGAGGCTACTTAAGGAGAAACCCGAGTCTGGGCAATCCAACCTACCCTCATCGAAAGGCACTACACTGAGCACATCACCAGGCACGGACACCAAACGTGGGGGTGCCTGCCCCCTTCCACTCATTCTTCCTCTTTTCCCAACCCTTTTCCAGGGCAGAGATGGGGACCAGAGTCACCCGAGACCCAAAGCGGTACAACAGCACACAGCTCCACAGCACGGGCGCATCCATTCACGTTCCATCCTGACGGTGGTCACCAGGTCTCCAGTGACCGCCCGCTCCGAGGGGTGGCYGCCGAGCTGCCCTCCCTCCCGCGGAGACGGGGCAGGAGCGTCACCAAAAACCCTGTCACCAAAGCCCTGGCTGGCTCCGGGTCGTCCCCGCACCGCTGCCCAGGCCAGGCGGGTTGACATCAACCACCGGAGGCCGTATCGCCTCTACAGGGGGTTGCGAGAGGAGGCCAGCACACGGAGCTGTGCTGCTTTCTGCTTCTYGGTGTTTTAAAATAATAAAAGAGAGAGAGAGAGACCTGCGGATTGTTTGTTTGCTCTCCAATGAAAACGAGCCCCTATCCTTATGGGAGGGAGGGAGTAAGGACAGAGAGCTGCCCGGACACCCCAGCTCCCCAGCACGTCCCCCACTAGCGGGACACGTTTCACGTTTCTCCCTCTCGCCCCACGCCCGGACCCGGCAGCTCCCCGAGCCCGGCCAAGGCCGCCCACGAAGCCCCCCGCGATGGGAGCCCCACACGGGACATGCCGCCTCGCGGGGCTCCCCGGCGAGGCTGCCGCCTCCGCGCGCCCCGGGCGGCCCTTGGGGCAGCGCGCCCGGCCCCG